AATGTTTAAATAGTGACATACATATATTTGTTTGATTTTTTTTTAACTTCCAACAACTCCGTTTATTCTTCAAATGTTATCCGAATGTTTGCTGGAATAGTACAGAAAAACATGGTTTACTTGGATTGCTGCATAGAATATAGAAGAAGTGTGAAATAGAAGTATAGAAATATATATTCTACAAGGGCTCCCGCGACTTTATTCCATATCAAAGCATGACTAATTGTATTTTGAAATTCTTAATATTTTCCTTATTTTCGTATCTCCATTATAATATTATTAGACCTGATCAATAACGTTTACTCAGAAAGTACTTTCAACTGAGTTACAATAAGAACACGTGCATCGGAATCGAATGTAAATGGTTATGGTGATGAGCCGCTGTGAGTTCACTCTGGCTTACCTTTTATTTGCAAAACTATGATCGTTAACCCGAATAGTGCTGTAATTATTTTTTTCGAATTGTGGGACGAAAGTTTCAGCGTCTCTAGATCGACATACATAATCGGATAATATGAGTGTGACCATATGGTCACGCTAGCACAGCTCATGTTAAGCTCGACTCAAAAGGGAAAAACTAACTGAAAATCATACAACGATTATCGCATTTACAGACAAAAACTCAAATACAAATTGTTATTATTTAGATATTTGAGAAATATAACATGAAATCACTCGCCCAAAAAGATCCTCTCGACTCGATATCCTTTAGAATATTTCATTAAAAATAAGTAACAAATCTACAAATTATTGAATATGCTATTGTTAATGGATACAGTGAATATTTGAAAGAAAACAGTGCCAGCATAAAAATGTAACACTTGAAACAATGTGTATGGTAGTCATAAATTTCAACATGCACCTGGCACAAATCAAAGGGATCCACAATTCTTGGCTGTCGTGCCTAATAATAAGATTTTGTTGCCGCAATAAATATTCAGTCGTTGAGTTGATCGATATACGAGCTCTAGGAAAAACGAATGATAGATAGCCATATACAAATTCAAATGAATACAAACAAACACCTTGAACAGTATTAATATCCCACTGTGTTAGCTGTAGACGTTGATAAAAAACGAATGATTTTATTGACTCAATAAAATTGACAAGATCTCACTGATATTTGAAAAGTTTCAGAATTCCATAAACAGATAAACTCAACGAAATGCTGCCAACAAGGCGTGTAGAGTTTGAAATGTGCGAAAAGTGCACTTTGAATGTAGTAAAAACCCACGCACACAAAGAATTTTCTCTAGTTTCAGTGGCATTTTCATTTCTATGAAACCGGCCTTTGCAATGTTGTTTTATTATTTAATTTATATTCATATACATATGTATTTATATTGCAAGCGATTTCCAATTTTTCGTTTTACAAATTCTTAAAGAAGACGAAATAAAAAATATAAAAACTACAAATTCAGTATCAAAAAGGTTCACATCATCTTTTATCTGGCGTTTGGCATCTGACTGTCAATTTTGGTTACACATAGCAGCATCAATTGATCGATGGGTCACTGGCTCAGCCGAGGAATGGATTGTTGGAATGTTTGAATAGATGGATCGAATCGTTACTTAGCTTGTTGACAAAGATTTCGTAATCGTTGCTAAGGCCTATTGTTCGTTGTCTGCCGTTTTCCAAATTGTAGATATATCTTTCGTGTCGATTGAGATATCCATTCCATCATTAATGACTGGCGTTTCATATTTGTAGTCTGGTTGGCCGATCAAGACATTTACGATGACAACTGTCACATGTGACCAAAAAGAAATCAGTCGTAAATTTTGACAATTTTTTTTTTTTTTTTTTTTTTGATTTGTCATCGCGATACCTCCGGGCCATAACAGTAACAACAACACCAACAAACATATTTTTTGTAGCCTTCATGAAATACAATTTCAATAAAAAAAATCGTTTTTCATGGATCGAGTGTTGTTGGAATCTTACGGTAAACACCGTGAGAATGCCCATTGGTATTGATGTTATGTTATTGTCAAATATCTATCTCTCTCTTTCTCTTTTCAAACAATTATAATCTTATAAAGATGTTAAGTGTGCAATTTATTTTAAATGATTTGAAAGTAAATGTGAATTTAAAGAACCCACACATGTCCATGCTAGCGTAATATTAACGAAAGAAAACCTAAATTAGATTTTCCTTAAATTTTAAATTTAAAAACCAAAATCAAACTACTCCATACCCTGACGTAAACAAAATGTCTAACCGCTACCTTTACATTTAACGCCAATTTGTAAGAATTAGATATCACTTAGGAAACGATGTACACTTTTCAAAAGAAAATATTAGACCTACATATTTTATTCGAAATTCAGCTTCATTAAAAAAAGTTTGACCAGCAAATCAGTGTGCAAACAAATAGATATGAAAACATTAATTATTTAGCATTGCATTTTTATGCTAAATTAAATAATAATTTAAACAAACAATTGATTTTATTGCTTATTGTTGTTGTTCTTCCTCTCCTCTTTTGCGTTCATTTGTAATATTGTGTAAAAAAGTGTACGGCTGGTTGAATATTTGTGTTTAATTTGTTTTGTTGTTTTATTATTTTAAATATTAATTATAAAACGTATTTGTTCGCCAAATGTAAACATTTGAACTCGTTGTTTTCGATTAACATATATATTTTTTGAATATTTATTAAAAGCTGAAAATGCTACAACTGAATAATGCTGCAACACTCACAACGCATATTTTCTTTTCTTTTTGCATTGATGAGAGAACCCAAAAAACCTTATCAAACTATTTTTTTTAGCACTTCTCTTTCAAAAATATATTCCCATAAAAACTATTGTTACGGTCCAAAGGTACGTTACAATTTCGTACTACAAATAAACGCCGGTTTACGAGTATGTATGTTTGTACATACGTGTCCCATTCAACAATCCTTTGCTCCGTTCAATGATTCATTCTCCAATGTTGAAGCAAATAACACTTGCATGGTGCCAGTCGAGAACATATCGGAGGATGTGATGCTTATGTGAACAATTTAATTGTCACGTTCACATCGTAAAGTATATTAATTTTATTGTTGCCTCTCTCACTTTTTGCAATATAACAAGTACAACACCACCTAAAAAGATGCAGAGACTAGTTATGAATTATGGTTGAGTTCGGGTTTGCATAGGGAAAGAAAGTTCGGATGTCTAGGACAAAAATAAAGAATTCTAAAATCTAAATATTTTATATATAATAAACCAACTGTTTGGAAATTTCATGAAGTACACTTGGAAAATTATTCTACCCCACTCCTATATTGCGAATGAACAAATATTTGAAATCAAGGAAGTCGCAATAATTTTGAAGTGCCATTTAATGAAATGTTAATATGTTGAATTCAAAAATTGAAATTTCATATATTTGTATATTTTCAAACATAAATTCCTGTGACGTTATTTTTGCGGCCACATAAAACTGTTGACTATCTCTATTTAACAATTTTATTGTTTATTTGTTTAGTATTAATAGCCATATCCAATGACTGTAGTGTCGTCTGTTTTTGATTTCGATTTTTGCATAAAAACACTTTAGATTTGAATATATTTTAATATTCATTTTAATTCTGTCTCACCCAAATAGCCGATAAACAAGACTGGCCGTTATCAAACGGAAGCCGATACAAATTGTGAGCCGAACTAAGATTTATCGTTTTATGTAAAATTTAAATTAGGAATTGATTTAAAATTCCATTTCGTGTTAACGTCTTTGAACTGTTTCGTTTGCTTTGTTCGCCCAAAATGTTTCATAACAACGAGAGGGGCAAGACAAAATGCTGTGAATGACATCGATGGTTGTTGTTGTTGTTGCCGGTGACCCTAGGTTGGCATCTGCCGTGATTTATGACGAAAATATTTATTTTCGAAAAAATCCGTTTTCTTTAATTTCCGAATATCGAATTTAGCTACTCCATTCGCTGGCATTGTTTATGTTATTTTCAAGTAGTTAAAACTATGACATAGCTGCTTAACATAAATAAATGATAATCCATTAATAAAATAGTGGTATAAAATATTTAAAATATCTTCTGTGATTAGTAAAAAATATTATGTTTTCAAAAATCAACGAGAAATATATGAAAACAAATATGAATATTTGACTATAATTTGATTTCAAAGTATTTTCGTTACTTTGGATTAACATTAACTGCATACTATAATTTGAAAGTCATAATCATCCGTAAGGGAAGATCTATTTCTTTTCGAACAAAACATTGCATCAGTAATTTTATGTACAGAAAAGCTTTACACAACATTGATAAATAAACTTAGGAATCGTAGATAGAGATACGACTGCAAAATAATTTGTCAATGGTGTAACTGAATTTCTTTCATAAAAATACATATTTCAGACTCATTGAATTTGCACTAAAATATCTAGGCAGTTTCATTTATTTGTGAGTTTATAAATTTGAAAAATATCGATTTGTATTAACTGATTTGTTAGTATTTAAAGTGATAAAAACATTTGTAACATAGAGTCATTTCGGGTAATGTGGACCACCATTTTCTTTTTTTTGATATTGTGGGCGTAACAACGGTAAAAATAAAAACAAATTGTTTTCACAACATACTAGATTTATTGGCTAAAGATATTCCTCCTCGCATATTAAATGCGCCCATGTTTCGAACTGGTCCTCATGAAAAGGTCCCACTTTTTTATAGTGGCCCACATTACCCGACATTGAATATTTTTATTTAAAAATAATTATCGACTTCAAAAATGAATAAAAATTAGAAATCATCGATTGTTATTACATCTAAATGTATATTTGTGTTAAAGAAAACAAGAAAACCACATAACTTCTTTATATTCGAGAAAAACAAAGTGTTCGACCATTTTGCAAAAACGTTCGACGTTACCGAAAGTTAGTCCACATAACCTGAAGTTACTCTAGTTTCTTTTTCCATCTAACTTTATACTTTAACTAAAATCAAATTTAAGATTATTTTATTTATTAATACCTTCCTATTTTATTTACAGACTGAGCTGCGTTCTTGCGCAGCGTGTGGGGAGCCAATTTCAGATAGATTCTATCTCGAAGTTGGTGGCTGTTCGTGGCATGCCAATTGTCTGCGATGTTGTATGTGCATGTGCCCGCTGGATCGTCAACAGTCCTGTTTCATCAGGGAACGACAGGTCTACTGCAAAGCAGATTACAGCAAGTAAGTTTTCATCATGAGCTTAGCTTGAGGGCCCTAGAAAAAAAGTATTGCCACTTAAAATAATAAAAAAAAGTTCAAATTGTTTATATATATTGTGTGTGAGTGTGTGTTCAGGTGTCGAGTCAAAATATAATTTTCCCACACCATAAAAGCACCTGTGTATGTGCCTATCATCGGTCTTTATAATCAGTCTTAAACGTGAGAATCGATATTTATTTCAATATCTAAATTGTCATTGTCATCATTTGACTTCGCATTTAATCCGTAAAACAAATAACAGCGTAAATGTCTTTATTTGTGGCTGTACCAGTCAGTCAAGCAGACCTTTGTGTCTGCAGCAGCTATTGAAATCCAACATTACCAACCAACATTCAATTAAACCAATACACACATACTTACATACATATGGCATATCTGTAACACAGCGTAAAAGAAAACATTAAGGGGCAATGAAAATATATCGATTGGAAAGCCGCAGAATCGGAAGAAGAGGGTGTGCGGGATATAAATCAATATACTGATGTTATGAATGTTCGACTGGTCACTTCATCATCTTTGGGGATTCAATAGATCGCTGTTCTCCATGCCACTGCCACTCAAGCATGACTTGTCAACATCCGATTGAGGATGTATGCATGGTGACCCAAGACCAGTCAACTAGCCGTGTGGATACAAAACTCTCAAACCTAAACACAAAGTAATTCAATGCAGCCGACTTATGTATGGAGTCCGACCGAGGTGTACCAACGGCATTCGAATGTTTTTCTTTTCTTTCTGTTGTTTCTTCTCATTTCTGAGGAGAATACAAAAATATGACCATACAATGACAAGTGCTTGGTAAGGTGAGGAAAAGCCCAAAACCAAACAGCCTGACGGAAATAAGAAAACATCAAATGTTTATTTGAGACTGTAAAAATATTTGTTTTTCAAGTCGAGCATAATAAGTTTGAAAATGTGGAGCTTTGCGTTCCGCTTTTACGATTCGACAAAAGGTGCAATTCATTAGAACAATCAACTTCGGTTAGGAACATAGCATTTTTAATAACAACGTTTTGCCAACAACGACGCTGACACGTCCCATAAGAAAAGACATACTTCCGGTAGGCTCAGGTGCACAATGATCACTTGTTGGAATAGAAACAATATTGAACAATTGAAATCGCATTTAAGTGGCAAAGTTTATTATCTGCAAATCTTCTCTAATCCATATATATATTTTTTTGATTACAGAAATTTTGGCGCCAAGTGTTCAAAATGTTGTCGCGGCATCTCAGCCTCCGATTGGGTTAGACGAGCCCGTGATTTAGTATTTCATTTAGCCTGCTTCGCATGTGACCAATGTGGTCGACAACTTTCCACTGGAGAACAATTCGCCCTGATGGAAGACAGAGTTCTCTGCAAATCCCACTACCTGGAGACGGTCGAAGGAGGCACTACCTCAAGTGACGGTAAGTTCGGCACCGGCCGGCCTTTATTTTTAATCTTTCTGTGCCACAGTAGTTGTTAAACGGTAGCAGCTTAACTTGTCACATGACGAATTACGTGTGAATGGCATGCGCTTATCGTCATAAGCGAACGATATGTTGCTCTAACATTTGGCCACGTACAAATACATGTCGGAACGAGACAAAATCATGTCAGTCACAACCGCAACAACAAAAGCGAAACCAAATAAACATAAATACACAACTACTTGACGCCATCCATTTGGGCATTCAGTTTGTTTGTCAGAAACTCTTTCGTCCCACAAAAATGTTTCATTTATTCATACCGACTAGGTAACCGAGTCAATTTTGTTACTACATTTCCTGGCAAAGTCAATCTGAACATTTGTCTGCATCATCGTCCGTCAGTCAGCCAGCCAGCCAGTCAGTCAACCATTTAGCCAACAAGTTGACACGAAATAAACGTGCTTGGAAATATGTCTGCCCCTCCTTTCCACCAAACCATTTTAATTCGGAATGCATGAGACCGGCTAAAATGTCCAAAACTGCCACATTAAAATGAAATCTTCTCAGTCTTTTTACGAGGTCTTGGCAATTCCTGTGATGGATGATTCTGATTTGGGACTACATACATACATCCATATATATGTACACATGTTCTGGTGCATAATTCACAACGTGCAATGTCGGGACATATTGGCGGGATGGCATGTCTAGCTGGTATTTGTGTAAACTCGTGCATGAAAGATGAACAAACTTCCGTCGATGGAGGGCGAAGAGCATGAATAAATCTGGAAGTAGAACTAGAAATTGTCCTCAAACTAATTGTCCTCCTTTTGCTTACAGGTGATAATGAATTAACCGAATTTGTCCGTTTTCATTTCAGATGGCTGTGATGGAGATGGTTACCACAAGAGCAAAACGAAACGTGTTCGGACAACATTTACCGAAGAACAGCTACAAGTATTACAGGCCAACTTTCAAATAGACAGCAACCCCGACGGCCAGGACCTGGAACGCATTGCCTCCGTTACGGGCCTGAGTAAGCGGGTGACACAAGTCTGGTTTCAAAATTCCCGAGCACGTCAGAAAAAACATATACATGCTGGTAAGAATAAAAGTAAGTAGTGTTGTTGTAGTTGTAGTGTAGCAGATGCAGTAGCAGTAGCGGCAGTGCTTTAGCTGATGTGTATATATTCGAAATATTTGTATTTAGATTTAGTTTGTAATGGATGTTCTCTAATGGAAATCCGTTCTGGATATCCTGAATATCCCATTACTCTATTGTGAATGTGTGCGTTGTAGATTTCACTTACATACTTATAGAAATATTTTCTACAACATATTTTTGATTGTAGTGCGTGAACCTGAAGGAAATTCATTTGCCCGCCACATCAACCTGCAGCTTACCTATTCGTTCCAGAATAATGCTCAAAATCCCATGCAATTGAATGGCAATAAGGCTGGACTATATCAAACTCATGGTAAGTGTATACGAAAAACTGAATATTGAAACTAAAAGCTGGGCTGAGTATTGAAATTAAATTTTGTTCAAACAATTTCTTAAAATAGTGAAAAAAATTCCTAATTTAATTTTTTATCAATATCTTTAGATTTGAATGTAATATTGTTACTACCCGGCATACTATTCTTCGGAAGTAGTCTCAATGAATCTTTTTATTAAACAATGTTTGAAAAAATTTATCAAATAATAAATGACATATCAAAGGATATCTTTCTAATCGGAAATCTTCATGTTCTCTAATTTCTTTTCAGAATCTTCAATGGATGAATTATCACAGGACTCCAGTGTGCATTGTATGCAAAGTGAAGTGTGACTTAATCTGTTAGAACCTAATTAGATCAATTACCTTATCTTACTATTAGAAGTGTGTTATTTTTTTTTAAAGAAATATTTAAAATATTTTAGAAAACTAAATGAAAACGTCCTAATCCTAGTCAAAATTGCAAAATCGTCCAATTCTAAAGAAAACAAGTTAAAAAGCAAAACAAACAAATCGCGAAATGCGTGAAGAATAAGCAGTATAACGCACAAAATATCATCGATGTAAATTAAATCAAAATCGACTATCAATCAGTTGTTTTTTTATTTTGGCTCAAAACAATGATTATTTGTATGTATACAATGCATCTCAGAAATATTCTATGGCTATAAGAAATGATCACAGAAAAATGTAAATCACTATTTATTTATTAAACACCCAATGAATGGCCATTTGCTAAAAAAGAAAGAAATTAAAATCAAACAAATTTAGTAAAAGTAAAGAAAAACAAATATCTTTTTTATATTAAAACTAATTTTGATTACGCACTCAATTTAATGCGATTTTTTGGCAAATACCGTGGAATCCCGATTGTACATACTGGCAAGGGTTCATCCAGTTTTTACGAATTTGATAAAACTGATTTGATTTGAGAGCAAAATGGTTACGAGTGGCCCATAGCTCTTTTCGAATAATTGAGGTTATCGCTTTGCTGGATTACGAATAATTGGAATTACTCCGTATATTGCAGTACTCGAAGTACATTCATTTTAAATGTTAGTTTCATGTGGAGAGTTGATTATACATATTGGCATATTGGTTAGTTTCAAATTTAATTATGATCAATTGAGTTTTTCCAAAATGAGTGCGCGTTTTTCTCAATAGATACCCCATGTGCTGTATTTTTCCCATTACACTCCAATGGTTATTATCTGATTTCAAATCTGAAGAAATGGAAGGGTCTACTGAGAATTATGAACAACCATTTTATGTTCGAAAATTCTGCAAATGATTGATCAGTTCCTAAAAAAAAGAACATAATATTCAGATTCGATAAAATTTTAAACATTACTACATTATGCAATTTACTTCTCCCTTCCCAATGTACCGTTTTGTTTGACCCAACATGTGCTTTAAAACTTCCCATTTAAACATTAAAGTCAGGTTATGTCAATTCGGATTTTGTAGCGCCAGCATAAATGTTGATTTGATTAGAACCCAATGCCAAGTCATATTTATCAACCAATTTACACACAGACTACATTCCTAACTTATCCACACATAAATATACATATACGTACATATATACAGGTGTGCATATATGCACATGTATATATCTGCATGCATGTATATCATATTAAATCCAATAGCCAGATCCTAGAACTTGTTTAGTTGATAGCAGCGTATGGGTGCGTATGTATGTGTGTTCACGATGATATTTTACTAAAGTTAATAGACTATGAATGAGTATTGTTGTATGTTGACAATTGTCCTAAGTTAAACATACATTGTGTCTGTTTGTGTGTCGGCCGTCGGTATGCACATTTCCGATCCAACCGACGATGCACCGACAAGCATACAAACAGATAGTCAGTAGAATCTAAATGGTTTCATTATAGCTGAACATCCGAATCTCAGCCTAGAGATGCATTCATTTGTCTTCGGTTAGTTGTTGTTCTTGTTATTACAACCATATGCGGATGGATGGATGGATGGACGGACGGACGGAAAATGAACATTTCACACTTCTACATACATATGTATGTATACACACATACATGCACACTGACATGCTAGTATCCATCGCATATATTTAGTTAGATAGATATACTGTAAATTAATTTAGATAAACAATTTGCCCCTGTAATTTATATTTAAGAATGATTAAAAATAAAACTGTTGTTATTGTTTATTCCTTGTTTTGGTCCTGTTACTTCCTATGACCACATTCCATACAATTCCTTCCCCCGCCTATGCATCTGAACACAATTCGCCATCACATGTACTTGTGTATGTATCCGAAGGTTTTAAAGTTTTGTAAAATACAATGTCCCTGTACTATTTTTAAGTTAAATTATTTGAACGAAGACAATTTAAATTATAATAAAACAATGTCTGTAGATAATATTCTTTAGTGTTAAGCATTTGTTTTGTAAATAGTATTTTCTATATCATATTAAAGTATTTATAACAAATAACAATAATAATAACAAAGTAATGAAAAAAAATAAAGCAACAACCACATTCGTATATATAAATGAAAAAATATAAATCAAAATAGAAGAATGCAAATGAAAAAAAAGATAAATAAAATATAAAACAAATGAATTTTCAAATTTAACAAAATTCCGTGTTTTCATATTAAACAAAAATGGAAATTGCAGTGGGAGAATGAGTTTTGGAAAATATTGAACAAACGAGGTTTGTCCAGATAAAGCGGTGAACTATTAATTTTTTCGCACTATGTTTATGTTTAATTATTTAAGGTGCGTTGCAATTTGTACAGTTGCCATATGATTTGATTTCGACATGTCAAATGTATCCCCAAAGAAAGCACACATTCTTGCTTGGCGAATTTCAAAAGAAATGTTTTCCAAATTAAAAAGAGAATATCCGATTTGTTGCAAAGCATCGAATTGTGTTTGCTTGTTATTCTCGGAATAATGTTTTTACGAATGACCGATGTGATTACTCAAAATTATTAATGTAATCGGTTCGAAATTTAAAGACATTAACTATGGAAGGATTAAACTAATCGGTACGGGTCATCGTAATTTGTTACTGGATTTGTGGTTGAAAAAATGCGATTGTGTAAAAAGATAAAAAAATAATTAAGGGTCACCTATTAAGGTAATTTTCAGCGGAGATAATAATTCCAGTCCATTACATATCCAAATATGTAATTTTTTATTTGCGTTGGACTTAGCGAATTTCAAAGGAAATGTTTTCAAAACTAAAAGGAGAATATCGGTTTGAAATTTAAGGACATGATTAACTATGGAAGGATAAAACTAATCGGTACGGGTCATATGTAATTTTTTATTTGGGTTGGACTAGTAATAACCATGGTACAATAATACAAGGTAGGGCAGCTTGAGGAGAATAACAAAAAAGCAACTATGCTCGTGTGGCCTCTTCTGCCAAAAATAAAATAAATATACGCAACAAGTGTTTGTGTTTATTTGAAATTTTTTCAACACAAAACAAAAAATGCGAAAAATGAATGAACGGTTATGATTTCTTCCCAAAATAGTAGTGAATACCAAAAAATGTTTGTTTCATCCATAACAAAGTAATTACTTCCAGCCGAACGTGTTTAAAACTTTATTTTCATTTCAATAAAGCTTGAATATATTTCAATTTATTTTGAATTTATTTGACATTGTATTCAAAACATTGTACACACACATACACAAAATATGTATTTTGATTTCATGGAACAAGCCACCTTGAGAAAAAATTGTAATCAGTTGGTAGCTGTGTCCTAACTTGTAATAATTATACCATGGTAATAACCATAAATATAGAAAATGTAGACAAAATTGGAAAACATCTCTGTAATTCTCATTAATTTATATTCCCTTGTATCGGAAATCTTTGACCATTCTAAAATAAGTTTACATTACGTATTATTACAAATGAAGCAGCAATAGTCTCGTAAAATTTACTATATAAAACCAGTAAGGAAAGTAGTAAAGTCGGACGGGGCCGTCTATATGATACCCTTCACCACTTTGGGTATATTCAACAGATGGGATCCTAACAGACGTCGCATTTTTGAAGGACCATTAACATGAAATTAAACATGTCATTCTGCAACCTAAACTAAATTTTGGTCAGATATAGAGTTGCTTCTTACAATGAGACAAAATTATGTAAATAAATTGAAAGCAAAATATCGAAATCTAAACCGATTTCATCGAAACTTGTCACATGTTCGGCCACATATTGAGTTCTTCATTTACATATAAATCCGAATTTCGTGCAAATGGAAGAATATACAGGGACTTTGGTCAACATTTACATAAAATCGGACGACAATATATATGGAACTCTGTCTAAATCTGAACCGATATTAACGAAATTTAAAACACATCGTTCTAGACTTAATTCAGGACGCAATGCCAAATTTCGTGCAAATCGAAGGACATATAGGGACTTTACATAAAATCGGACGAAAATATATATGGGAGCTATATCTAAATCTTAACCGATTTTAAATAGGACTCGTCCTTGGGCCAAATAAATGAGCTGTGCCAAATTTCGTCCAAATCGGATCTCAAATGCGACCTGTACTTTGTTAACAAAAATACATGGATAGACAGACGGACATGCATAAATCGAATTAAAAAAATTATTCTATGTGTCTATCTCTATCTCGTTTCCTTTTGCCTGTTACAAACATATGTACAAAGACATAATACCCTGTACCACAGTGTGGTGAAGGGTATAAATATAATTTGCTAAATGATTGTATTTCGTACGTGTGTTGGTGTTTCTTGTGTGCAGTTTTGTGAAATTTTGAAAAACTAAAAATGTAACTATTCACATGAGATTGTTTGTTGAAACCTCTAGTACTATGAAATGATAAAAGTGTCTGCAAACGACTGCTTATGAACGAATTATTAATATTTTGCAAAAAAAACTCAGAATAAAAATTACATGAAGAGAAATATTCCATACAAAATTCACAGTAAATTAAGGTGATTAATATGTACTAGTGCTGTAAAAACTAAAATGGAATAGACTTTCCAGAAACATATAGATCATATATAGAAGTATGTATGAAGTATTGTGTACAATGGATGTTGAAGAATCGATCCTAGTTTTGAGGTACGGGTTTTATGGTTCAACCGGCCACAAAAATTTTTGGAAAAAAATACTTCAGATAGTTCCGATCCGTCCCTTTTTGTGACATCAGACATTCCAATAAATGAGAATTCAACATATAAAATTACCACGAATTTTGTTGGAAAACTTGGTCGAACTCCACTAAATACAGACATTTCGGAGGTAACGTTATACTATACTACTTTAAAAAGTTGACGAATATTGATAGTTTTTGATAAATAGATGTGCTACTCAATTTGAACCTAAAATACAAAATGACAGTCAATTCGGTTAAAAAAGTGCTCAAAATCATAAAATTTCCGAATAATGGGGTATATTGTTATATGGGATCTACCCGAAAAGCTGGACCGATATT